GATGACTGACTAGGAAACTGCTCATCACACAAAATGTTCAAGCAGAGAATGAATGACTGTCTTTTAGGACTGTTGAATACTAGGGATGAGAAATCTGATAAAATTATCCCTAAGTTTCCCCCAAACTCTAATATTTTATAGAAAGTTCCTTAGGCTTAGAGGCCATTAACTTTTGATTGACCAGTAATTCAAGTAAGTTGGCTGTTGTTTTGGAAACAGATTCTGATATAGGAATTTGGGATGCATGCAACATGAAGAGAGTGGTCTCAATGAAAAGAGAGTGAGAAGCAGTGTAGCCTAGGTAAGGAGTTAAGCAAGGATGTGGTCTCAGCTGAGTTCAGCTTCAGCCCGACCCCATGAGGAGCACTGGAGCATAAATTGGGCCATAGTGTTGTTCCTACCTTGAGACAACGGGGCTAGTTTTATACCCCCAGTAGTGTTGGTCAGTAAATGGCTGTGAGGGGGCATATCATTCCAGGTGAGGTAGCTCTTGTGTGGCTAATGGCAATTCTGCAGAGAAGGAGCCAGCCGTGGACTGAGAGCAGCTAATATTAACACTCAGAGTGCTGGGGGGTGGGTGCGCTGGCCCTACCCACCATGCTAGCAAAAGGGCGCTCCTGCGTATGAGAAACAGAGGATAAGAACAGGAGTGAGCTGCTAGACAGAAGCACAGCCCTGGCACTGTGATAGCAATACATGAAAACCGGCCTCTGTGCTGGAGGCCATAGGGATGTGGCTGTCACAATAGCCTTAAAGGCATCACAGCCCATACCAACAATGGACGCTCATCATGCTGACCTGCAGTCAGCAAGAAAAAAGCTATACTTTATTAGAAATGCAATTGAAAAAGCAGGGACAGTCCACAGTTTTATAGTTTAATTCCTTAAATCACCAGTTTCTAGTTCTTTATTAAAGAAATAGTGTATTTAAGAAAGTGCATGGTAAGTGAGTAGTTAGAACATTAGCATAGAGCCATCAGGTAGAAGCATAAGAAGCCGTGCACTACTGAATTAAGTACTTTTTGAACAACAAAGGTGTTTCAGAGAGTCTCCCATTTAATATCCTATTAATGTGTCTCAGTTTACTTTCAGGAGGGCTGACAGGAAAGAAGGACTTTGTGGTTTGTTCCATGGAACAAATGGGTTATTGTACGGCTGTAGCCCAAACTAGTTAACCAATTGCCTTTTTCTCATTGAATTTGCAATAACTGCCGTCCTCCTAGCCCCCCTCACCCATTATTCTATCAACATCTCATCAAATTTCACCCGCCAATGGTTAACCTCAGGCTGTTTGACAGAAACTTCTAGTATAATCTCTATATAGCCCATCAAGTATCAAAAACTGCTTTTGAGATGTCAGCGTTCTCTAGAAAAATTTTAACGTTTTTCTTCTTCAGTACCATAATGCTACCTTGGACTGGGCATTTTTGTCGAAGAAGGAGTGTTTGAAATACGGAGGAAAGCTCGTGGGGAACAACTGTTATTTTGTTCCTGATATCACGCTCATGTCTTTCATCCTCTTCTTGGGAACCTACACCTCTTCTATGACTCTGAAAAAATTCAAAACTAGTCGTTATTTTCCGACCACAGTAAGTATCTGAGCTTTAAATCATTTTCATTGGGTTTACACTGTATCAAACATAATACAATTTTACAAAATGAAAAACACCTGCAATACAAGCTGTCCCATATAATATTGTGCGTTTAAAAAATTACATTTCAATCTTTGTTCGTGTGCATATTTGTTTATCATAATTGTAGACCAGCTTTGAAAAACCTTCCAAGAATTTGCTCACATAAGTTCTGTCATAATTCTGAATGTACTGAAAGGAAAAAGTGGGAGGTGTTCTATCTAAAAGTCTATGAGTGAAGAAAAAGATGTTTTAAATCCAGAATGTTTAAGCACATAAGTAAAAACTCTTTTCATATTAAATTAATTCTTTTTTTCATAATCAAGTATCAAAAATTCTTTTCATATTAATCAGGAATTTTCATGTTATAGAATTTCTTGTCCATCAACTGTGCATGTGAGTATTTTAGTACTTCAGTTATGGGCTGTGGGAGTAAACATAAATTCTGTTGTTACACAAGTACTGGTATAAGATATGACTGTCATCTGAGCCAAACTTTCCTTCCCATAATGATGAATGCCATGGTGAGGAGAAACAGATAATTAAACCGGATTGTGCAGACATCCTGTCTCCCATTAAAATGGTTGAGTGAACTCAAAGTCAGAACTGTGGTTCATGGAGAGACTTCAAGATAAGACCAACATTTAGTTAATGGCATTTTGTTTTTTTACCTGAAGAATGAAACTAAGATAATCCTTTGCTTTACAGTTTAGTTGTTAGTGTTTAGAATGTCGATATTTCACAGGCAATCTCGATTACACCTGATTTAGATGAATGACCCACTCTGTACAACTGACATGTCACAAAATCCCTTCTTGTGTTTTGTGTAAAAGAAGTGGAAGGACTTCAGAAGATGAGATGCACCCGATGAAATTCCTTTTTCCAATTTCTAGGAGATGAAACTTACAATTAATATATTTACTTGCACTCAGGAGATTGTTGACTCTCTGATTCTTCTTATAACATTGAAAATGAAGTAAAGGGTTGATAATGAAATGTCTAGAAATGCATGGCCCAGAGAATGAAAAATGTCCCCAAAGTGAAATGGAGAAAGAAGTGTTCAGCTTAGTCTGCTTAACATAGATGTTGCAGACCAGCAGTCCTCGGGCAGAATTCAGCCCACAGCCATTCTCTGTTAGGCCCACAGTATGTAAACACAGACACACACACACACACATACACACACACACTCACACACTCACACTCTGGAGGCCTTTGGTGAAACCCATAATTTGCAGGTACTCAGTGTCTTCCCGACCGTCTGTTGCCCAAGACTTGGCTGCTTCGCACATTCAGATGAACTGCCTGTTCCTAAACACTCTTGAGATCGTGACCCCGGCTCACATCCTGGGGAATGTGCTTTCTCGATCTACCTCTTCTACTGTATGAATTTTGTGTAGAACAGATTCCTGGGTAAAGGTCTTCGAGGAAAATTTCCTTTCCATTGAGGTTTTTCCTTCTTAATTATTAGTTTATTGGGCATCTTGTGTTTGTTTGTATTTTTGGCTTACATTTTGAAAATCATCACCACCTGCCAAAGTCTGACATAATTTAAGCATAATAGGTGGAATAGCGGGACATTTGTGAAGCACTTGTGAATCGTAATTTGCAAAATAAACTAGTTTCAACCTTAAGATGAATGGAGATCCTTTTTTCCTTTTTAAATTTTTTTTATTTCACCATATTACGGGGATACAAATGTTTAGGTTACCC